CTATTTATCCAAAATTTGAAAGTTACGGGGATATCGTTAGGATGGGTTTTTTTTTTTTTAATTAAACAGCAAATATGAGCAAGTTTTAAACTCCGGCGCCAATACGCCGGGAGGACGCTTGCAGTCCTGGCAGCCGATAAAGGTCCTTGCTGTACCAGAAGATACTTATCTATTGCAACATGTGGGGTCCTCACAAAGAAAAATATCTGTTCTAGATTCTCAAAGTGGGAAATTAACATTTAAAAATGGGCAGCTTTTTTCCACCAACACCGAAAAAATGGAAAAGCCCTTTTTCACATCTAAATTGCAAAAAACTGAAAAAGTTTTTTTTTTTTTTACAAAGTAATGGTTAATAAGTTAAGTTAATTATTTGTTAAAAATTAGAGATTGAATCCCTTAATAAAAGTGAACGTCACCCCTTCTTATTAAGGAACGTGAGCTAATGAATCGCATAATGAAGTTTGAAAAAGTGATTTTTGGATCACGCCGTGTATATATATATATATATATATTATACCTTGGATGACCGGTTATATAGTTGTATAATGAAATATAGTTTTTATCATTTAAAATATTTTTTATTGATTTTAAAATTTTAAGATATTTAATATCAAAATTTAAAGTTTTAATTTTTGAGATATTTCTTAAATGAAAATCAAATTATATATTAAAAGTGTAATTTAAATATTAAAATGATTGTAATTGAATTTAGTACGTATTATTGGAAGAAAGTGAATAAAGTTTTCTTGAACTTGCCTCTACTCAAGTGGTGTGTTCATACTCATTGTCTCCTGAGAAAAGAAAATGTGGAGTTGAGCTTTTTCAACAGCTTTGAATTTAAACGTCATGTTTGTCAATTAGGCCCACTCAGCCCAACCACCTTGCTTTGTTGGATGGCATGAGAAAGCCCAAATATTCTTGTCAGAGCGTGTCATCAATAGAAAAAAAATGTAAATAATTATATAAAATTTGTTATTTTTTATTTAAAAATATAAATTTTATTAGTTTTTAAATGATTTGATAAAATTTTCACTTTTTATTTTTAAAGGTGTCAATATATATATTTTTGTATTAATTTCTTGTAATCACATTAAA